TAAAATACTTTAAAATGGTTTAGTGTTGCGTTGAAGACTAACCATATGGTAGATTCTTTTTTAACAACTAGTATAGCTAAGAAGTTCAAGTTTTATTTGAAATTAGCATGATTTTATCAGTGTATTATGTTCAAACAAGAGCTTTAGATGTTATAGTTTTTTTGCTTCAGGTTTTTAATATTTGAAGTAACTTTTCTTTTTTTAATATATTTCTCGAAACCTTTTTACTACCCCTTATAGTGAATCTAAAGAACACCATTTTGGAGTCTTTATACGTATTTATAATTTCATCTGTTTAGAAGCTATAAAAGTACCTTCCAAGCTTGTTGATCAAAATGTCTACAGATTTTTTTTAGTAATGTCCCAAATGAGTCCGCAAGTTTTGATAACCAACGCGGAAGCCGTTGCTAAACGAAAATGTATACAGAAATCGGTGGTATATTCTGAGCAATTGATCAATCAATATATAATTGTATAATATTTGTCTCAGAAAAAATATTATTACATTTAAAGATTTACATATAGTATAAAACTAATCTTATTTAAAACTATAATTATTTATGGCGGTAGAAAAAATGCATAATAATGGTTAAAGAAGTAATAAAAACAAACGTTAAAACAAAAGAATTATGTAGACGAAAGTGAGAGTTGTAATTAGTACGATATTTACTTTAATAAAGTATGAATTTAAACAAAATGTATTCAGACAATGCAGAGTATACTAACATACTAAAATAGAGAGTAAATGCAGACCAATTTATTCAAGTGGAAAAAACCATTATAAAAATGACAAAAAAAAAAAAAAAAAAATACAAAATCGCAACATCATCCAGCGTATTTTTAAATTTTAATAAATATTTACAAATCGAGACTCTTTATAAATAATAACAAATCAGATGAAAAAACTTTATAAAGAATGGAGATAATACAAAACATAAATTGTGAAATATATATATATATATATATATATATATATATATATATATATATATATGGAAACTTTCAACTGCTTTTAATTGAACAAAATAGATCATAATATATATATATATATATATATATATATATATATATATATATATATATATATATATATATATATATATATATATATATGTATGTATATATATGTATATATATATATATATATATATATATATATATATATATATATATATATATATATATATATATATATATATATATGGAACCTTTCAACTGCTTTTAATTGAACAAAATAGATCATAATATATATATATATATATATATATATATATATATATATATATATATATATATATATATATATATATATATATATATATATATATATATATATGGAATCTTTCAACTGCTTATAATTGAACAAAATAGATCATAGTTTTGTTATTGGTTATATTTAATGTCAATTTTCTGGTTTTTAATATTGCATTAAATATGTGAGTTTTTAATCATTTTTTATTGTATTATTTTTGTTCTTAATCCGCCTAGTTTTAGGTTAGGTTATAAGAACACAACAGGTAACTTTAACTTATAATAAAATATCACTGGAATATTAACTTGTCTAATAAGTTGTACTTAAATGAAACAAGACAATTCATGTTATAACAAGGCTTACTTTAAATATACTGCCTTACATTCTGCGTTTTTGTAAAAAAAAAAATTGTTTACAAAGTTTACATTAATTGTAACAAATGCTGTGTTGTTGAATGTCAATCTATTTATTCAGGAAATCAATTAGTTCCCTTATTTTCTTTTTTAATAAGTGAAAATATTAACAGATGGATTTGATTTTAGAATAGAAAATTGGCAAACAACTTTCTCATTTGTAATCTGTGTTTTAAAAAATAATAAATAGTAAATAGCACTTAATAAAAATTGTAAATAGCATTTAAAAAATAACTTTACTAGTTTCTACTAGTTATCTAGATTCTTTACCTACAATTTTATCTACAATTTTACCTACAATGAAGATCTCCTAAAAAATTGTTTTCAGATAATTTGAACATCAATCATTTTTAATGAATGAATTTTTTTTTAGTTTTGAATCACTCAATAAAACAGACATCTCTTCAGGATATATCTTTTTAAAATACAATAATTATTTTTATAAAATTGAGTTGAATGATAATAATTTATCAAAAGTTATGGAATTTATTAAATTGATAAAGACTTGCATGTAAAGTTATTTACAAAAGGTTTTCCTTTATCTTTTCCTGATAAACTTGTACCTTAACATACAAACAGAATATTTCTGTTTTTTGGATGAACTTAAAGAGTGCTAATTTCAAAAATAGCAAGTTTATTTAGCCGATATTATCTATCATAGTATATAATTTTTACAACAGCAATTAAGTCTGAGTTCCTGTGTTTGAGTTTCAAAGGTGAAGTGCAGGAAAAAAAACAGGAAAAAAAAGTTTTTAGAGCATGTAGGGACTGAAACAGTAAAAGAATGAGACTTTGCTGAAGTGAATGAGTTAGGTGAGAATGAGTTATGATTAATAAAAATAGAGATGATAGCTCCTTTGAGCAGCACCCATGATAGTATTGGTAGAAAAGAGAAAGGTATGCAATTTTATGATGAATTGAGAGAGGCTCAAGCTTGGCAGATAGAGCGGGTACCATTAGTCTCACTGAGCCCACTTCTTTACATCTTCTTGGATTATTGTTTCCTACTGACCTTTCATCATAACCAAATATACAATTGATTGCTAAAATAGCATCCAACAAGGTTGCTTCTCTTTAGCGTGCTTGTCATTTTCTCACTCCTGATTCCGTTCTCTACCTTTACAGATCTCTTATTCGTCTCTATATAGAATACTGTTGTCATATTTGGGTTGGTTCTTCTCAAGATGCTCTTTCTCTTCTAGAAAAGGTCCGAAATCGTATTGTAAACGTACTAAAACCTACTCTGTCTTGTTAAGCTTGATGCTGCTCAAAGGAGCTATCATTTCTAGCTTCATCAACTAAAGCTTATTCTTGTTTAAATTGTTGTTCTGCTAAGTCTCATTTGTTTACTGTATTTGTCCCTGCATGCTCTAAAAACACTTACTTGTCTAGTTTTTTTCTCAGCACTTCAACACTATGGAACTTTTTAGCCATCTTCATATTTTCCTGACTCATACAACCTACAACTTTTCAAGTCAATAAGCTTGAAAAAGATCTCACCTTTGCTACAGCATGGGGCACTCAGTGGCTGGTGAACTTTAACTCAGATAAAAATCAATATTTTTCAGCTAATTGTTATCGCAATAATCTAAATCTTCCTATAATTATGAACGGTAATCTGCCGTGCTAAGCGAAAAAGCAGTATCTCCAATTTTGGTCAAAATTGAGATATTGCTACCAATGGTAAACAATGCGGTTTTATACCATTTTTTGCAACAAAAAAGCTGTATATCCAATATTTAACATTGAAAATGAGCATTTGAAATTGAGAAAATCTCTTTATTGTACTTGTCACTTTCCTACTCAGGATTTTATTCTTTATCTCTATAAATCTCAAATCCGTCTTTGTATGGAATACTGTTGCCATATAGGGCGCAGCTTCCAATTATGCCCTTTCTCTCTTAGACAAATGCAAAAATGCATTGTAAACTTAGTTGGATCTGCTCTTGCAGCCAACCTTCAAGCATTTTTTATAATTACTATAATAGGCACTTCTCTAAAGAGCTAGTGTCTTTTGTGGCATCTACTAAAATTCGTTCTTGTGTTACTCTTCATTCAATTAAGTCTCATTCTTTTACTTTGACTGTTCATAAGTGCTGCAAAAATTCTTCTTTATCTAGTTTTTTTCCTCGAACATCAGTTCTTTGGAATTCGCTTCCTTTATCTTGTTTTCCTGATTCATATAATTTACATTCTTTTAAATTGTCTGTTAATCATTGTCTTGCACTATAGACTTCATTTTTTCTCTTACTAACTTTTCTCACTAACTTCCAACTCTTAGTGGTTGCTTGCAGCCTTGTTGGAAGTGAAGATGTTAAAAAAAAAACACAAAAAACTCCTAACTTAATAGTGGTTGGTTGCACCTTGTTGGAAGTGAATCAGAATTAAAAAAATCATCTTATCTTGTCAAATTTATTTGTTTTGGTTTTGTTTATATTGATTTTGTTTCTGGTATTATCTATACAACTATTATAATTAGCAACTGTTATAATAAACAACTGTTATAATAAACAACTGTTATAATAAACAACTGTTATAATAAACAACCTTTATAATAAACAACTGTTATAATAAACAACCTTTATAATAAACAACTGTTATAATAAACAACCTTTATAATAAACAACTTTTATAATAAACTTTTTTTATAAACAACCGTTATAATAAATATTATTGAAGTTTGCTTATCCAATTTAGATCCTTTTTTTAAAAGGATAACCCGCCTATTTTTTCAGCAAAAATGAAGAATGTAAGGCCATGTAATTTAATTAGGCCATTGTAATAAATAAGGGGAAATTTTAAAGAATATCAGGTGCAGGTTTTCTTTTTGTTTATGGTAGTTAAACTTAAAACTATTTTGATCATGCTATTATATGAGGCTGAATAAAATATTCAGGAGAGACCAGTAAAAGATTTGATTTAAATTAGGTTTCATAAGATGCCCTCCTATGTAAAAATGAAAACATCAGTCAAACTACATTAAGCTCAGTTTATTCTATTATTAGATGATGATGATGATGATGATGATGATGATTAATAATTGTAAAATCTTAGATCAAAACTAAGACTTTACAATTATTGTAAACCATTTTTATTTTAAAATAATAAAATTATGATGACCGATTTATGGAACTAAAACAAAATTTTTGCATGAAAAAACTTTAAAATTGTGTACTATTGTTCTTTATTAATCAACCTCAAAAAATCTTTATTATGTTCAAATCTATTTTATTAATCTATGTTTTTGTTTTTTTTTTTAATTAAAAACTTACATTTTAAAATAGTTTAAAACAAACTAAAATCAATTTATTTTTTTTATACCACCTAAATTTTTTTAAACAATGACCATCATTATTTAGACAAAAATCCCTAAATAACGAGCTTCATTGTAAAATCAAATGTAGAAGTTTTTATAACTGTTATCTCAACGGGAGATTTTATCAACAAGTTATTCATAAATTCAGTGTTTATACTGTTAAGAGAAATTTTAAACCTTAGTTGTTAAAGATTTGAGACAGGTAAATTTGTTAAAATTTATTAAAATAAAATTTATTAAAATTTATCAAAATAAATTTTAATAAATTTTCACATAACAAACCAAACCTTTTCTGGACTACAACAAGCATTTTTTGGGGGTATTTGAATAATCAGTTTGCCATCAATCACTTTGATTCAGTTCGTCAAAAATCTGAATATTTTTGACAAAATTCAGTTTGTTGTAAGTCTTAATTAAACTTTAAATCAGTTTGTCAAAAATCACTTGACATAAATCACAGTTTGATAAATTATTTTTATAGAAAAGTATATTTATTTTTTAGGTAAGATTCAGGAAATTTTAGTAAGTTACAGTAATTAAATGAAGTAGAAGAAAAAAGAGTGTGTCCTCTTCATATTAGTGGCCTTCTAGACTTGTTTTGTAAAATATTTTTAAAAATTGTTTAGAGTTTACTTGAACCAGTTTAAATTAAACTCATTGGTATTAGTCAGTTTTTATGCTTAGTTACAAGCAGATAATAGGCTTAGTCGCAATTGAAATTTTAAGTTTCACTTGTCTTCTTTATCATAATATTTAAAGAAAATAACCCAATAATTAGCACATAAGGCACTCCAAATAAACTAACTGACTAATAATGGTTTTAACCTTATTCTTTTTTGCTGTTATTTTTTTTTCAATTTTGTCGTCAAATAAACAATATTTTTCTTGTAGTTTTAATAAGATAAGAGTGACCATAGTAGTGCTTATAATAGTTCTTGAATATCGTCGCCCCTTAGACCAATTCGAAGATTTTTCTATGAAGGAAGCTATTTTTTTTTAACTTTTGAAGAACATTGAAACCTGGGATCAATTTTAAAAATTTACTTATTTCTTAAAATATTTTGCAGAAAATTAAGTCATATATAGTAGTCTAAAGCAGAAATTTTAACTTTTAATATTTTAAAATTATTTAGAATTAAATAAAATATTATTTTGATAATTAAATAAAATATTATTTTTAATATAGAATTAAATAAAATATTATTTTTCATATAGAATTAAATAAAATATTATTTTTGATATAGGATTAAATAAAATATTATTTTTAAGATCTTCACTTTTTTTAAGAACCAAGCTGGAAATGCTATAAAAATAATTGTGATATTGTGAATCGCTATTATAAAGAGCTATTAACTCTTTCTTTTTTCCAAAATTTTTGCCGCTCATGCATATACAGTTAGTTCTCATTTATTTACAGCTCTTGTTTCTACTAAAGTTTTTATTTTTTTTTTTTTCATAAAATGCTAAACAGGAATAATGTTTTGTTTTCATAATTTGTAGATTTTTAATTGCTTCTGTTGCTATCATTTTTTGGTACTATCACGCTTTATATCTTTTCTCAAATTCTTTGTAACTAACTAAAATGTTATATATATATATATATATATATATATATATATATATATATATATATATATATATATATATATATATATATAGATAGATAGATAGATAGATAGATAGATAGATAGATAGATAAGTAGATAGATAGATAAGTAGATATATATAGCTAATATATTCTTACCAATGGCGTAGAAAGGTTGCAAAAGTTGGGGGAGGGGCTGAAAACATATTTATAAAAGGAAAAAGTTCCTCAATTTTGTATGACACTGCAAAATAGTTGAAAATGATTTACTTAATCATTTATCGCACGCAATGTGATTGATCATCTTTTAACATGATTAGTCATCTTTTGCCAGCACACATTCATTTAAAAAATAGTTAGTATGCGATAGTATCTTAAACAGTTTTATGAATATACTTTTCCATGGTGATGTTTAATTGTGATTGAGTCATTGCATTAAAACTCATTTTTTAAAACTGTTTAGGAAATGAGGGGGGGGGGGGCTAAATGCAGTGTCCGCATTCCCCCCAGTATTTTAGTTGGAGGGGGGCTATCACCCCCTCTGCCCCCTCCCCTGTTTCTATGCCAGTGATTCTCACTATCTTGAAAGAGATCCAAATATTTTTGATTTAAATTTTTATTTTAATAAATACAAATATAATTTATGACAAATTTATAGTAAAAGAGTTTTATCTCTCAGACCACATCAAAAATCTTTTTTTTTATTTTTTAGATTTTTGAATACCATCAATAAAAATTCTTTTAATAAAAGTTTTGTTTTTGGTCTAATTAACCTTTTTACTCTTTTGTATCTTTATTTATTTATGTTAGAAGATTTACTTTTTTGTTAGAAGATATGAAGCGCACATACACAGATTCAAGTTCAGAATGTTCATTAAAAAATTCAAATGGTAAAGCTCCAGCAGATGATACTTTATCAAAAACCATTAAAAAAATGCGTCTGAGCTCTATGTTTGATAGTTTAACTGATTTAGAAGATGATGAGATGGCGATAGATACAAGCTATACTACCAGTAACCCAGATGATTTTAAAATCAACTTAATTATCAGGCTCCTAATGGGGTCACGTATTCAATGCTGTTTCAATAAAAATGACACTATTGGTACTGTTCTAGACTTTATTTCTTCAATTATGCATGATAAAGTTGACTTAAAAGCATATATCTTATATGTTAATGAAGTTCCTAAGCGTGAAATAAAATTGGCAACAGATACACTTCATTCTTTGGGAATTAAAAATAGAACAATACTAGTTTTAGATAAAAGAGATGAATAAGTAATTTTAATAAGAACAGTTTGACATTCTTTTTGTTAAGATTTTTTTAATAAAAAATACTAATTTATTAACTTTTTAAATTAATATTAGTTTATCAATTAACTAGTTACATCTAATTTTTTGTATATTTATGCATACATTTATACATACACACATACATACATACATACATACATACATACATACATACATACATACATACATACATACATACATACATACATACACACACATACATACATACATACATACATACATACATACATACATACATACATACATACATACATACATACATACATACATACATACATACATACATACATACATACATACATACATACATACATACTCTCAAATCCTTAATACATAGGGTAGGGGGTGGGGGAAAAGGGGGGAATGAAAAAAAGGGGGATTTGTCCAGTTTTAATAAACAAGGGGGGTATAAATGGATTAGGGGAGAGGCCTTTTTATATTAAAATATAAGTATTTTTTTTTATAAAAAAATTTCAATTTATAAATCCCAATTAATATTTTTTACAAAACACACATAAAGCTATTTAACTCTAGTGTGGCTCGCAGTCAAATGCGCATTTTCTAACAACCATTTATCATAATTTCAATAGGGTTTAATATGCTGATATAAGTTTTATGTATATATGTATATATATATATATATATATATATATATATATATATATATATATATATATATATATATATATATATATGTATGTATATATCTATGTATATATATATATATATATATATATATATATATATATATATATATATATATATATATATATATATGTATATATATATATATGTATATATGTATATATATATATATATATATATATATATATATATATATATATATATATATATATATATATATATAAATACATAGAAATGTATATACATATATATACATATATATATATACATATATATATACTTGTATATACATATATACATATATATACATACATATATTTATATATATATATATATATATATATATATATATATATATATATATATATATATATATATATATATATAATACAGTGAGTACAGATCTTAATAGGGGTAGTATATATTTTGTTTTCCCTGTGTACTTAAATATGCAGTGTTCTTACATAGTTTGCTCACTCAAAGTTTTAAAATTGTAACTTTAAACCAGATAATTTTTTCAGAAAAACAAGGAAAAATAATGAAAAAGTACAACAAAAGTTGTAATTAAGGTCTTAATACTCCTGAAATAGTTCCTGTGGGGAACTATTTCATTACTATGTCATCAATGGTGTATATGCAAGGTTAAGTGCAAAAGTTAGAGGGGTTTTTGTTTTCAAATTTACAAAAAGTCACATTAATATAATTTTAGTATTTTTTAGTAATACTTGTTTCAAGAAATATCAATTTTTTAGCTTTTTTAATGTTTCATAACCAGTGTTTTAAAAAAAAAAAAAAATTCAAATTATCTGTAGAAATTAAATTTAATAAATGTTTATAATTATTCTTTTTAACCAGCTGTCAAAGAAAAAATATATATATATTTAAAAAGTTAGATATTTATTGTATAAAATAATCACAATTTTTTTATTTTTCTTTTATTATCAATTGACTTCAATTTTTTACAAAAAATGGTTTGTTTTGGTATTGTTTCTTTAAACCTGTTTATTAACCTCTAAGGTTAGTTTTACTGCTCTTTCAACAGATTGAGATCTGTTAGGGATATCTACTAGGCTAAATTTTAGGTTTGATTCAATAGTCTTTTTGAGTCTTTTCTGAAGTTGTACAAAAGGTTGTTATGGGCTCAACCTGAATATCATTAATGGAAACAACTATCTTCAAAATTAAAATCAACTTTTTTTTTCATCAGAGATTTTGACTTAAACTTTGTCTTAAAAATAATGCTTTCTTTTGATGTTTTTTTTAGGATTTAGTTACAATATTTTTTTTTTTTATTTGCATTCACTCCCAACAAGGCTGCAAGCAACCACTATTAAGTTGGGAGTTACTAGGAAAAAAAAGAACAGAGTTATAGAGCAAGGAAACGGTTGACAGAAGACTTGAAAAGTTGAAGGTTGTAGGAGTCAGGAAAACATGAAGATGGGAGAGAGTTCCAAAGGATTGAAGTGCGGGGAAAAAAACTAGATGAATAAAGGTTTTTAGAGCATGCTGGGACAGATACAGTAAACGAATGAGACTTAGCTGAATGACGAGTAAAACGAGAATGAATTTTAGTTGATGGAACTAGAGATGATAACTCCTTTGAGCAGTGACCATGATAGTATCTGTAGAAAAGAGAAAGAGATGCAACTTTACGACGATG